AAATGGAGTACAGCAGTGATACATCCTATAAGAATGTTGTCTTCTCCAGTCTATCACATGGACTCAGATCAAAGATAAAGTAGTAAGAAGAACTCTAGTTTACAAGCACTGTTTGATTAAGGGTCTGCAAAGAAATATTTGTTTTCATTCTGGCACCTGACTGCTTTGTTTTGTTAAAAGATCAACACTTCCTTGAAAATAAATGGAGTACATGGTGGTAAAAAAGCAGCTGGGGTTTCAGCCTCAGATGTGAATCCTGCCCAGATTTGCATGTCCTGTCTTTCTTTTCCAGTTTTCGCTTTCACTTTCATGTGAGCCTGACTCCTCCAGCCTTATGCAGGATGTAGTGTAACTTCTTCACAAGCAGTCCCATTGTTTTTCCATTGCAGCTACTCTGTGAGAGGCAGTGTGCTTCATTAGATAGAACACCAGCCTGCACCTCAGGAGACCTAATTTCTGTTCCTGAGTCTACCACGGGCCTGTGCATATCACTTCATGTGTCTGTTTCTCTCCTGCATTTTGCTTGGGCTGTAAGTTTTGGGGGACTCTTATTACCTGTTTGTATAATACCACAATAGGGCCCTGATCTCAGTAGCACTCAGTGTGAATAAAGGTATCTAAATCTGGTCCTTATTATTTGTGTGGCACTTGGTGTGTGCCTTTGTTATTATTCCACCACTGGAGAGGAACAAAGGGAATTTATTTAAACAACACGGAATAATACTTTTGAAATAACCTTAAGAATTTAACACCATTACTAGTTATCATTTTATGTTGTAGTCCTATGGCAAGCCTTTAAGATTATAAATATTTCATTTCTTATTTGGATTGAATATTAAAGGGAACATTTAAGAGACAAAAATTCCACATAAAATAGATGCAGAATTGCCTGTTTTCCTTTATTTGACACACACTGCTAGTTGGAGCAAAATAGGCCTGTCAGTGTTAGTTTCCATCCTATTTTGGACTCTGCCCATAAGGAGGTCTCGGAAACAGCCATTTCCTACTCTGCAGTGAGGGGTATATGCTGAACCTTTTTAGTTTAGTGTGTACGTGTTTGTTTTTTGTGGACTTCATCCATTCCCAGCAACGATCCCAGAGTAAATAACTTTGGTAATGAATAGAGCTCTGTGATGAGAAGTGATCAGTAATAACCTCTTCGGGTCTTAAATGGTGCAGACTTGAACTCTGCTGGATGGGCCTTATCTGGCAAGGTCAGAATTGTGACAAAATGTTTATCTGAAAGAGGAATCTGATGCTGATGCTATAATCCACTGACTGACAAGCTGCTGACAGCCTTGCACACTGCTGTTCAAAGTGCTTTCTCATGTAGCAAAAGCATGCCTCTGATCCCTTGTGTGATAGCTTCAGTCAGTCTCTTCTGAAAGCTTTCTCTTACCTGACACTCAGACTCAAATAAGAGGACCCTTGTTAAATAAACTTAACAGCACCTCGAATTTGGGGCCAAAGTTAAAGCAGTTAAATTGATGTGTGTTGTAAGGATTCCATGTTTACTTTATGTTTAAGTTTATGTTAACATTTAAGCCATTCAGTATATCTGAGGTTTAGAGAACTAGTTCATGGAGAATGAAAGCATGAAGCTCTTATTTGAAAAGGATGATGAAATAATACCAACAGGAAAGTTTGGTGTTTCACTAGTGTTTTAACAATTTGGGAACATTGTTCACTATGTTACTGAAGCCTCTCTCAAAATGTCTATTCCTATTTCCTTTCTGTTGTCTTAGCTAGTGGGTGCTGCATGCAGCACTCCATAGGGAGAAAGTGCCCTGAATAATGACAATAAGGCAGGGTACCTTAGACTGACCACCAGGAAAAATGTCACTGCACTCTGTGAACTGATCTGGGGTCTTCCCAAAACTTAGTGGCTAAGGTTTTTTTTTTTTAAATCAGGAACCTGAAGGCTAGTTCTGTGGTTGTGAGGGTTCTTTGAATAACCTGTGATCTTAGAAAAAAAAATAGTAATAGGCTTTTAGCCCCAAATGGTGTTTTTGCTTTGGTGTTATTTCCAGGGTATCTTTGAAAAGGAAATGGCTAGAAACTTACATTTTAGAAAGAAAAAGAAAAGCTGAGAGTTCTCCCTTAGATTATGGCTACACTATGCGCTTTGCCGGAAGAGGCAATGCAAATGAAGTGCGGATTAGCATTTTCTCGTGCTTCATTTGCATAATTTCTTCTGGGCCGTTTTTGTGCAAAACCAAGCAATGTGGACGTTTCCTTTTTGTGCAAAAATGCCTTTTTGTGCAAGATCATTATGTTTCCCAGGGAGATGCATAAGGATCTTGCGCAAAAAGGGGTTTTTGCGCAAAAAGGAAATGTCCACATTGCTTGGTTTTGCGCAAAAACGGCCCAGAAGAGATTATGCAAATGAAGCACGAGAAAATGCTAATCCGCACTTCATTTGCATTGCCTCTTCTGGCAAAGCGCATAGTGTAGCCTTAGCCTTACAGAGTCTGTGGATGGGGGAGCATAAGAAGTTTCCTGGCCACACCCCTTCTTAAATTTCTGAAGTGGCCCCCTTTTAAAAATTATTGCCCACCCGTGCCTTAGGGTTTATTTATTATTAAAAGGAATTTTGCTTCCATTCACCTGGATTGGATCAAGATAATGAATTATTATTTCTGTCCAGTGTGAAGTACCCAGCCATATTAAGATAACTCTGTATTCCAGGAAAGGGAAGTAATTCTGTATTTCTAATATTTGTGGTCTTAATAAATACAGAAGTGCTTTTAGATTCAGCAAAATGCAGGACTATGTAGCACTTTAAAGACTATCCTGGTAATGGGTAAGATAGTTGGGGTCTTTGTTCAATCCGCCCCCCCCCCCCCCGCGCGGC